GATGTAGCTTTCAATGGCCAATCAATGAAGTTGAAAAGGGGGACTTTTCCCAACTTTAAACAATCTACATCAATGTCCTTAAGGGGTTGAATTTATGGCTAAAAGTTTGGTAAAATCTTGTAAAAAATTTATAACTAAACACTTTAACTCGGCTTCATTTTGTCTCGTGGCCACCTGATGATCGATTCTGATATGGCATATAAATTTTAGAGATTTCTACTATGTAGATGATCATTTTGTAAATTATAGTATTCAACTGACACAATAAAAACGAAGTAAGGTGTATAGATGCATAGTCTCAAAGTTGAAGCGTCTATATATTAGATGTGGCTAAATTTGAATGTATATTTGATGTGGCTAAAATGATAAAGTAAATAAAAGGGTTACATTCACTCACATTTTTTTCAGCTTTTAGTTTGTCCTTCCAATTTTTTTCCTGGTTTCTATGCAACTATAAATTTTCTAATGTTATAGCGGCTACCAAAAATCCTATTGTTCCTTTAAAATTGATTTTAAAAAGTTTATGTTTTACCTATTTTCTTTTCTGACTAGTTTTATGTATGTTAAAAATAAAGGGATAATTTTAAATATATATGATAAAGTAATTAGTTTACAACAAATATAATTATGTTTTTATTTACATAAAAAAATCGTCAAAACTTATAGAAAATATGTATTGACTATACAATATATTTGTATATACATGAGTTATACACTGACTATATATTATGATACACTCAAAAATTGAATATACTTTAACTAATTATGAAGTATACACTGACTATTCATTCTCGACCAACTCGAAATCACCTCTAAACAATCCAAAATTTTAGACATGAAGTCCTCTCGACGTTTCAAGCTAAGTCTTTTAATAAATAATTCTCTCGAAACAAAGAAGATGCAAAAAAAAAAAAAAAAAGGAAAGGATGAGGAAATTGTGCTAAAAATATGGTAAAGCTTATAGTTGACATTTTACATAATTTATCAAAAATTAAAAGCATGAAAATATAGATGGAACGAGACGGTAAGTCCAAGGCCTCTTTGAATCTTTGGTACCAATAGGATGGATAGAATTCACAAATAGTCGTTAATTCAAAAATAATCATGGAATTTTGAATTATATAATTAAAATTCTTCGTTATTTTTTAAAGACAAAATCAAAAAGTAATCGTTGAATGCTATTTTTACAATAATAATTAATTGTAGAAGATGGAGAATCCAATCTACAATAATTGCAATTTGCACAAACAAACTAACTTTGTCACAAAGTTTAGAGTTGGTATAGCATAATTTCAATCTTTTGGTAGGAGAAGTCATTTTTTCATACTTTCTTTGTATTATTTTTTTTCTTTTGGAAAACAATAATTAATTGTGATGAATTCAATAATGGAGGAAGGAAAGTGAAGTGGGTTTCATGTGAAAGATAAACTTGTATAGTTGAAAAGCTTTACAAAGAGCTAACAAGTGGTTTCCAAGCATGTACATGAGATTCTAAAGTAGCCATCTTTAATGGAACACTTCTATTCTATGTATAACAAAACACACAAGTTCAACTCCCTTAAACTATTGCTTAAAAATAAAGATAAAGTGCCTTCTTTTTTCTTCTATAATTGAAAAACTTCTTTAATAGGGAAAAGACCAACATAAGAATCTTGGAGGGATATGCAAAAATTATTTCTATCATAAGGTATTTATAATGTTTATTTGGTTGAACGTAGGAGTGTCAAATGAGCGGATGGATTAAATTTAGATGAGTTAAAGAAAATGTAATATGTTGAGTAAACAACATAAAATAACAAAATCTTTGGGTAAAGTGTACAAATGTCTACTTTCAAAATCGTCATTTAACTAGTATCATCTGTTCATATTTTCTTTTGCAAGTTTACCTGTTTTGGGCAAAAGATCGAATAGTCATGTCTAAAGCTTGATAACTTCAGACATTCGCGTATGAAAATAAGGCTTTGTGAAGGCTATACATCAAGTTTTCCTCTAATGTTTAGTATGACTTGCAAAAGTAAAATGAAGTTCACGCATTTTTTATTTAGATGCATGTAAAAATTGGTATAAGCATTCAGTCATGTATGCTTGCACCTCAGAAATACATGTAACGACAGATTGAAATTTCATACATGTGTGTTTGAATAAAAAAAAATATATTCTTTGAATTTTAACAATTCAACACGTACAATTTGATATTCAAATATACTCTAAGCAAACTCAAATTTGAAATACAAATTTCATATATCATAAAAAACAAAACACTTGAATAATATCGAGTTTTTTTGTTGAAAATATTTTAAGGAATTTGAACATAAATTTCGAAGATGATTTAATTCAGGTTTGAGATTATTTTCAGTATATCTCTTGTATATCACATATATTTATGTATATCCATGAGCATTAGTGTGAAATACACTAATATATACTTGATATCGTGATGAGTTTTTCTAGCATTGTTAGGTTTTTCCACAAACCCCAACCACACTCACTCAAAAATGTGTTATTTCCTTTTCCAGACTGCTTTGAATTGTTTTTAAGGTCCATCGATTGAAAACGCAACCTCTTCACCTAAAAGATTTTTGTACACCTACCCTCTCCACACCACTTTGACAATTTAGGAATAACACTAGATATGTTGTTATTGTTGTATTTTCCTTAGTACCAATCAGACCAAAAATAAAATACTGTATTAATTATTATAAAGCATATCTTGTGTTTTGCTTTTTCTTTTTTCTTTGTTTTGTTTTTTTGTTTTGGTGCATGAGTTTTATTTAGAACAGCTAAAGAATATGGCAGCACTTGAGCAATTAGGTGTCGTTTGATAGAAGTGTATTAGCAAAAATATTGCACACAGTCTATTGTGTATTAAGGTATGTATTGTTAATAGCATGAATTTCGATGTATTAGTAATGCAAGGGGTTTTTTAATGTATGTAGTGTTAGCATGGTTAAAGATCTCATTGTCCTTTAAACTCTTTTTTATATCTTTTTCATTATAATTGTGAAGAGTATCTTTATAAATAAATATTTTTGTGGAATGCATGTTATTTTTAATACACCAAATAAATTATGCATAAAAAATAATTTATCTACGATTAATGTAAATATACTAATACACTTCATTTATTATTATTCTTATACAATTTACCGAATAATCCGCTACTAAATAAAATAGCTAGGATATTCATATTACTAGTGAGCAAATTTTAACACAAGTAAAATGTGATCCATTAGAGTGATAAAAGTACTTATCTTTCCCTTTTGTTTCATATAATAAAGTAATTTTTCAAAGTTGTTAACAGAGTGGGAAGCATGCAAAATGATGTGCAGTTAAAGAGATGTTACTTTCACCATTTTGGAGAATTGGTGTCAGAAAAGCCCACACATTACTCATATTATATACTTTTTTCCAAAGTCCATTTAATTAATTTTTAAAGTTAAATTAGATTATATTGATTTGATATTTTAAATAAAAAAATTAGATATTTAAAAATTATATGAAAAGTATTATAAATTGTAATTTTATACATATCAATATGATATAAAATACGTTGTAAAATGTAAGCCAAATTCTTATAATTTGACTCTAAAAAAAACCATAACAATTAAAAGTGGACAAAAATAATACTATATTAGAATACAGAGTATATCACTTTGACCAAACTTCAGTTACCATAACAGAGTTTAAATTAGTCAACACTAATATTACACAGTCATTATTTGAAAGGCATTTGCAAAAACAAACAATGATTAATAAGATTGAAAAAATGAATATCTGTTATAACAAATTTAAAAAAAGTTTTACCAAACTTATTCACCATCATACCGCATGTTCAAAAAAAAATTGACTCTATCTGTCAGTATTTGACTACATGTTAACTTTGGTTTAGTGGGGTCATTAACATTTAATATCACCAAACTATGCTTGTACTTATCCATTAAATATATGCTTTTATTATTGAAGTTTAACCATAACAACAATATATTTTGTGCGAATTTTTGGACTTTGTTTTTACGCAAAAGTTATTTATGATACTTATGACTAAAAAATTATTATTGAAATTAAAGTTATGTACATTTTTAGTAAAGACAAATTTCAAAAAATATGTTATATTGTAGGTAAATTTTTACATCTATCAATTTATTTTCTCGAGTTACATATCATCGTATATTGTTGTGATCGTTGTAAGTAATATGATAAACTCAAAATGGCTGTTTATCATAGCTAAAATGTAATTCAATAATGAAAATTCTAGTTTTATTCGGTGCATATGTCATTGCGTTGAGGCTTATATAAATAGTTCGTTATGCCTGAACTAAATTGTGTACATTTAAATAAATTCCATGAAATATTTATTATCTTTCATCAAATACAAATATCGAATAATTGTATTCATTAAAACTTCAATAGTTTTTTTAAAAAATAACAATATTTTTATTTGTCGGAAATTAAACATGAAACTTTAGGTTCATAACACATTTCATTTTTAAATTCAAGAATATGTACTATTTTTTTTTTGTTTAAAACTCCAGTAATATCAAATAACTTTATTCTTCAAAACTTCAATAATTTTGATTTTTGCCAATATAAAAGTTCAACAAAATAACTTTTCGAAAATAAAATAATAAGTGAACTTCTATTTATTTTTCAGTATATAGCAAGTAAGTATAAAAAAAAATATTCTATAAAATATATTTATATATAATCAAACAAAAATAAAATTAAAATAAACTATGAGAGTGGAAGTTAAGAGGTGTCGGATAACGGAATGGTCATGAAATGAAAGTTGGACATGTTATTGCGGAAATAAACAATGAACTTGAAATATCATTTGTGAAACTTATTTGTCTTATTTGCATTCGAAAGATCATATTTTAACTAATTAATCTCATTCTAAATTATCTGTGTTATACCAAACACGTTCTTCTCTACCCTATCATATTTCATAATTAAAGATAAATTATTTAAAAGAAAAAAAAACACAAAAAAAATTGCTAATTCTTTGTTATTCATTACACTAAATAAAATGTAAAAAAAAAAATTAATCATTTACAAAAAAAATCTACAGTAAATTTTTGTAAACAGTAACTCACTAGACAGTGGTCGGTTGCAGTAAAGTATTGTGATTCGGTAACTGAATCTGTTGGATCTGCAAACTTTTCAATGCACTACCACCAGATCTTCTCTTCCATAAACCGCCGTCCGCCGCCGGTACCGGATTCACCTTCTTCACTACCGGCAACGGCGGATCTAATTCACTAACATTCACTTCAACAACAGCAACTCCATTAATTTTACTTCTATCAGATTTCCGATCTCCGCCATTACCGGCGGGAGTAAAATTCTTACCGGAGAACAATTTCTTCAGCTTCATGTACTTCACTTTAGAATTTACCGGTCTAGTTATGGCGGTGGAAGTAGGTCTGTACGGCGTCGGAAATCCAGTTACTCTGTTGTTTCGTTTGACTTGGCCCATACAACTTACTTTTGGGGAAGTAGGTTCGGTGTGAGTAGTATTAGTGGAAGGATTTGCGGAAGAAGGAGGTTTGGAGTTTTGTAATTTTACATCTTTGATTGAAAGTTTGCAAAGCATTGGTAAGAAGAAGCTTGAGCTTCCATGGCGAATATGGTGATAAAGCTGTTGTTGATGATGTTGATTGTATCCATTTCCCATATTGTTGAGTTTTCTTCTCAATTTGTGTTTGAATTTCTGGTAATGGGAGAAAATTTGGGTGAAGGCCTGAAGGGATGTTAATGGAGATGTGGAGAAGGAGAAGAAATGGCTCAATTAATACTATCATTTTATTTTATTTTATTTTAAGAATTAAATTAAATTATTTGTTTGTTTCATTTATGAGTCAAACCTCTGGACAGACGCAGGTCTCGAAGTAATTTTTATTATTTTATTTTTTTTACTTTCTTGGAGTAAAATAATTATGTCAATTATTTGTTCTTAATTACTTGTCCATTTTTTCTTTTTTAGTTGTCCCTAATTATTTGTCCATTTTGACAAATTAAAAAAGGACAACTTTTTTTACCTATTATACCTTCAATTAATTACTTTGAAAAATGTAGAGCTTCTTGAAACTCTGAAGTTTTTAATTCATCTACTTCATAATTAATAGGGATAAAATGATAAACTCACTATATCAATCATTGTTTTCTTAATAGGTGTGTCAATTCAAAGGTATACAAGTAATTAGGGACAGAGATATTTTATTAAGAGGCATACCAAATTCAAATATAATAAGTAAAAGTAAACAAAGGGAATGATTTATTTTTCTGGTGAGACTTTATGAAAATATTACTACTTAAATACATAACTTATTTTTATATATTCTCTAAATTTTCCTATCACTTGAAAAAATTACAAAAATCTCTACTTTACGCAATGTATCAGTTGAATACATCACTTTACGCTATGAATCACTTGGATACATCACTTTACGCAATGTATCGGTCAGATACATCACTTTACAATGTATCGAGACTTTACTTTACATGATTTATCAGTCGAATACATCACTTTACCTGATGTATTTGAAACTGAGAGACGGTGTATCAGGATGTTGAGGGATGTGTTCGGAATCCACCAAATTTAAGAAAATTTTGTAACTTAGAAAAGAGTAGGAATAAGATATAATTAGCTCTTAACACTATGAGATTTATTTAAAATCTATTGTAAATTTGTAATTCTAACTTTCTTTTTCCATTTTACTTTTATTTGGCTTTTTAAATAAGCGTTTGGCTATGTTTTATTGAGAAAATAGAAAGAAAATAACTTTAACTTTAGAAATTATATTCAAAAATTAAAATTATATCTGATAATAAAATAAATTAGAATTGTTTTGAATTTTTATAAATAATTTAGTTTAAAGTGAAAATATTTTTTTGTTATTTTTGATTTTTTCTAAAAAAAAATGAAAATAGTAAAAACATGAATGTCAATTCGGACGGTTCCCTTTTATTGGAGTGGGTGGAAAATTTATGCAGCTTAAACGTGTTTTTCCTTTCAAAAAAATTTCACAAAATTGAACGTGTCAATTTTCAATATAAATCTATAAATATTTTAGTTCGACATTTGAAGTTTTCTTTCGCCCTAATAATTTGATTTGACTTACATTTATTGATAATTTAATTAAATATTTATATTATCAGTATAATTTATTTTCTTATAAAAAAAAATCACTCCCCTTATATTTGAGGTACTTGTGTTAGAAAAATAATAGAAAACATAATGGAAGATGATGATGATTTTAAGGCGTGAATAATCACTTTCTTTAAAAGTGATATTGTTCGTATAAATATTAAGGAAAATACAGGCAATTTTTCTTTTGGATATAACAAAACTTCGGTATGTACCTGCAGATTTTTCTTAGGCTGCTTCTAGAGAGCCTTCAGAGATAACTTTTCATAATAGTATGTCCTTTCATGAGGAGATGATTTTTCATAATAGTCATATTCTTTCACAAACAAATGTCTATTCAATTTACATCTATATATTACAAAATATTCAATAACTTGTTCTACCGAATATTTAATGGTATTTGTTTTTTAAATGATTTGATAGCATGAACTACTTGTAACCGCAAGTTATTGATATCAACAACTTTGGTATAATCTCACAAATGAAGTTTCAGAAGAGCGAACAAATATTGATGTGAAACATCTAATTTTATTATTGGCAAAATTTGGTACCAATAATTTCAAAATTTTAATAAATACTTAATTGTTAAACTTGAAGAGTTCTTTTTTGACATTATCTTGAAGACTACGAAAATGAGCATGTTTTCAAGACTTTGTGAAAACAGATTTTTAGAAGTCATATATTGTTGCTAATATAATGTCTCTATTATATTGTAAGTCAAAAGAAGTATTTTCCACTCTTATTTCACTTGGATTCTTCTGCATGTCCATTTCATACAAATTAACAAAATACTCCTCCGTTTTCTTTACGTGTTTATTATTTCCAAAATATATTTTTGCATAACAAAAGAAAAACATAATATTTTACATTATCATTAATTACTTATTCTTTAAATTATGTTTTAAGAACTAAAAGTACAATAACAACATCAACTTATCTAGTGAAATTCCACAAGTGAGGTTCTGGAGAGGGTACAGTGTATGCATGCGTTACTATTACGTCGTGAAGATAGAGAGGTAGTTTCTGAAAGACACTCTACTCAATTGCAGCAATTTCATATCTATAAAAAGAAGAAAACAGTAAAGAAATCATAACAACTAATAAGACAGGCAGTGGAACATGAACAACAAAATACTGCAGCAACCTAAACACAATAAACAGATGATGACAAATACAAAAAATTAGAACTACAAGAATATAGTCCGTACAACGACAGACACCAACAAGCCTGAATTCTTGAAAGTAAGACAACACTCAACTATCTACTAAATAAATATAAATATTATGATAAAATACTCATATTAATTATTATTTCACGCAAAATTCATACTAATAAATAATAGTGAATGGAGGAAGTAAAACAAACAAAGAATACTGGATATAGAATTTATTTTTTTAAAATAAAATTATGTCTGCTTTATTAAACTGTTCCATTGGAAATTGAGTGAATTAAAGTAGGACCATGTTTGCATGCATAGAAGCTACTTATGATTTTTTTTTTCCTTTATAGAAGTTAAAAGCAGAAGCCATTTAACAGACCTTTTATGAGTAAAAGAGAAAAAGTGACCTTTTTTTATGTGGATAAAGTTTACAAGTAAAAATGATTTTGTCTCCATGAATTTAAAGTACCATTTTTATTAAAAAATTTATACTACAAGTACACTTATTGAGTGAGGGACTGAGCTAGGTGTTGGCAAAGCAGTACAAATTAAATTTCTTTAGTAAAAAAATTACATTATATAAATAAATATAATTAAAAAAATTATATATATTATATATAAATTGTAGAATCTATTGACATAAAAGAATATTATAGTGTAGTTACAAAGGAGGTTCACAAATAAGTTTAAATGCTATGTGTGATACGAATTTGCAGTAAAAAAAAAAAGAAGAGAGGTTTTGTCTAGACAAGTTATAGTACAAACAAAATATTTTTACTTGTGACCAACATGGATTGTGGTGCACTGGGAGTCCTTAATCCTTAATCAGAGGTCTCGGGTTCGAGCCTGGGTATGGAGAAAATCCAGTTGGGAGCGTCACCTCCGAATAGGTCCTGCAATGCGCGATTCGGATTTAATCAGAGCTCTAATGTGGGCTTTGTACACCGGGTGGACAACCAAAAAATAAATATTTTTACTTGTAATATGAGGAAACTATATAATTTTTGCAATAGTACATATCTTTTTATTTCTTTAAATGTAATAAGTAAAATACAAAGCAAGGAAATTAGATTGTATAAATTACTTAAAAAATAATTAGGAAAAACACAAAAGAACTTTAGGGAAAATTGTATTTCAATAATCAATACTCTCCGTTTTATATTAACTGATCTTCTTACTAAAAATAGTTATTTCATATTAGTTATCCACTTTACTAAATCGTGAAAATATTAACTAATTTTTTCTTATATTATCCTTGCAATTAATTCTTTTTAAAAGTACTTACATTTATTTCTAAAGTTCCCAAGAAATTTTCTAAAGGATGAATTAATATAATTAATTTTTCATTTATAATTTATTGATGATCAATTAATATGAACCGGAGCTGAGCAGAGTAGAAATAATCAATGTACTATTCAGCATGTCAGTATTCCACCAAATTAAGGTCATTTGTTGTAGTGTTAATTTGCTTGGAAATATAGGGACAAAATGTAAATCTCTACAAGTCTAGAACTGCTTTTAAGATGGTATAAAGAAAGACTTATTTTGAAAGTAAAGAAATAAGTGAAGGAAATCATGTCAAATAATTTTTACTAGGCAGGCGTTACCTGGGCCATTCTTGTTATTTATGAGAAATATAAAATGTTAAATATGATGTGGTAAAAACGTATTACTCTCATGTCTCAATTTATGTGACACTTTTCATTTTTCAAGAGTCAAACAATTTAAATTTGATCAGGAATTTGCGCATGGAATCAATTTTTTTGAAATGAAATTTATATATTTGTAAACTACGTAAAAAGTACTATAAGTCACAATAATTGATAATTTAAAATGTTAAAAAGATATATGAAAAACTTACGATCAAAGATAGACTTGTTTGAATTTCTAAATCCGAAAAGTGTCACGTAAAATGGGGCAGAGGAAGTATATGATTTTTCTTTGATTGTGACTCATTTCATAACCTTCAAGGTGTTTAATAAGTGTTTGGACATATATTTGTTTGAAACTTAAAACATTGTATTTAGATATGCATTTCACATACTCTGCAAGTGGAGAAAGATTATTCACTAGAAAGATTCATCTTAAAGAATAATTTAAACAAGGAATAAAAACTATGGACAAACACAGCCTTAGGTTAGATCTTCTCTGTTCAAAGAAATTACTCCAATAATCAGCTTTAAGATTTACAAATAGTGGGGCCACATTCCTCGGGTCCAAGTCCAACAGCATTACAAGTGCCATCTCCTAGCCTTCTTTTCTTGTTTTTTTGGACTCTTTCACTCCGAAATTCCATGCCCTAAAGTAAAGGGTGATAGAGAGGGCAAAAGAAAGAAAGTTGTTTGCCCGAAGGGGAAGGAAGAGGGACTTTTCTTTGCTGACCTCTTCATCGAGAGATTCAAAGTTGCTGCAGAACCATTTAACAGCAATAGTGGACACCCCAGTTGACTGAACTTTTCATAGCTGTTAGA